ATGTGAACAACTCAGACTCGGGGCTTCTGTTTTCCTCACATCTAAATGGGAAAGGCAATACCATGTTATGATGGCTAGAGCACTCAGGATTAGTGAGATTTGGGAAATGCTCAGCAGGAAGGGAAATAAAGACAATGGCTGTATAAGGCAGAGAGTTTATTCTAGATAGATGTATGCCGTAACGAAGTTTGAACTTTATACGAGTCCTCTTCTGTGCCCCTTACGTCCTCTCCTTTATATCCCAGCCTTATACTTTATTCTGCTTAGAGCACTACGGCCCTTGCCTGCTCCCCTCCAATGGACTGAGAGGCTGTATTCAAACTCAGTCAGTTTAATTCTTATTCGTGTATTTGTATAGGGACTGATACTGAATATCCAGTGAATTAAAACTGAATTGATAGGCACATTAAACATTACATGAATGGGTATATTCAGTTCTCTAAAATTAGAGAAATTTCAAAATATAAATGTGACGTAGAATAATTTATTTGATGCTTATTTTCTGCAGAGGAACTCTGCAAGCTGAGAATTTGATTCTCTGGTTGAACAGTAAGTTGGAGGTAGATTTAGAATTAGATTGCCTATCTCCAGAGTCCTGAACGCTGTGGTTTTTCTGCTACATTGCACTGCCTTCCTCCATAATGATTGTTTTTTATTCCGATGTTAGAAAATGAAGCATTGGGGTCCATGTAGTTTCTTATAGAGCTGGTAAAACTGATTTTTCCCATTTTAGCTTCTCAGAGTAAATCTTTATAAAGCAACTACAGCCTTTTCAGATAACTTGCACCAGTTAAAAATATGCTATGTGAATATTGGAATTCAGTTAAATGTATGTGAGCATTTTCTGACAAAACACATAGTCCAGAGATCTGACAAACTACTGATTCAAGAGAAAGAATGTCTTTTCTAATAAAACCTGTAAATGCACAAGGAAAGCACCGAATTGTATTTAGGATTTGAATAGGTTATTTTATGATGAATGCACATTAGAAATCCTCATTAGTTGATGAAAAATAATTTCTGATCTGATCTTAAAAAATTTGTGCAACAGAAACAGTGTGACCTTCCATTTTCATTGCACCAAATACAAATCACTAATTTAGATCTTGCTGATTCAGGATTTGTGATAAGCTTGACTGAGAAAGACTGATATTTACTTTAAAATTGTCCTAGAACAAGAGTTTCTAGGCAAGTTTCTGTACGAATAACATGTCAGAGCAGGGATTAAATTCTTTAGATTAGACTTTGTTTCTCCCACTTACCTACAGTTTTGGTTTGGTTTTGGAAGCAGAGCTCCATATGTTTGTGTGTAAGTACATGATCAACTCTAACGGGGTAGTTTAGTGGGCTTAACTTAGTATCAGCTTTATTGCTCTGTAAGACAGTGACAATAATAGTGATATTGCATGCTTCACAGAATGGCTATGAAACATAAAGTGGAAAATGGGCCTGTGTTGTCCATGAAAAGACGCTCAGCATAGGCTATTATATGATTATAAGTGATGGTATTAAATGAGTATTAGTAAATGATTATAAATTGTTATCACTCATCAAGAAAATCAACCTAGCCAGGGATTTGGCTCAGTGGTTCTGCTGCCTACCTCACAAGTGCAAGGTCCTGAGTTTGATCCCTGGTACCAAAAAAAAAAAAGAAGAAGAAGAAGAAAGAAAGGCAAATCTACTTATGCCTTACCTTTTTGCTTGTTCTATCCTTCTGGATATATCTGAAAGCATCAAGTCTATAATTCATGACATACTTATTTATTCGCAGTTATATTTAATGCATACTTGTGTAACACCTAGTGAACTGTGAAGTCTTCCAATATCCTATATCTGGAATAGTCCTTAGCATTATCTTTGGTGATAGACTGAAAAACTCCTTAAAATATTTGTTGCCCCTCCATTAACATTGTTCCTGAGCAAGAATAACAAAGATCCATGTTTTCATCTGCATAAGAATGGCTATGTCATTGGCTTTGACCAATAAAATGTGGATGGATTATAGATTGTTTGTAAAAGAAGCTTTGAATACAAGTCCTTGATTGCCAATGTATATTTATTGCCTCTGCCACCAACTTACCAGCTGCTCAGAGAAAGGCTGCTTTGTCAACTTGGATCTCAGGATGGGATAGAACAGGACTACAAGGACTGCAAGTAAACACGTGCTGTAAGCAATAGCATAATTGTGCAGTCCTAAGTCTTTCAGATTCTAAAGTTATTTATTCTCACAGAATAACTTAACCTAAGCTGACTAACACAGTTTTACACCATACAGAACTATTCAGGTCACTCCCTCCCTGTAACATTTCATCATTATCTATGTTATAAAGTCCCAAATGTATAGCATGAAATTTTAAAGTTCTTATGCCTTGATTCCTCTCAACCTTTCCCACCTTCCTTTGCCTATTACCCCCACACACCCCTACCATAGCATCCAACAATTGTACATTGCTTTGAATTGTCAAACCCTCATTCTGCAGCATGTTCCCAGGTGTGCACTTTATTGTATGGAATCCTAGAAGATACTTATTTATCTTTCAGAACCCAGTTCAAATCATGCTTTCTTCAGGATGTTTATGCCATGCCCCTTGATCCAAAGTCCATCTTTATGGTACTCTGCTTTTGTATTTTCTTCTATAAATTTACTTAGCATGAGATATTGAAAGTGCAAGTTGTAACTTCTTATTTAGGATCACATTTACTTTCCCTTCCTGATATTTTCTAGCATAAACGAGACAATAAATGTTGATTTATATTTCCTTCTTTTTTATAGTGAAAGAAGTTAAAGCATGCACTATATACTTGAAATGAAAGATTCTCATTTTGTAGCTCGAGAAGATTCACACTCCTTCCTGAGTCTCAATTTCTCCCTCAAGAGCACTAATTTTTATATGAGAAAGTGATCTGAAATTATTGAGTGAAACATTTAAAATAGAAGTTATTAATCATCTTCAACATGATTTACAAATATATTTCATTAGCTTTCTTTCAGTCGCATTGGGCAACTATTAATAAAGGTTTTAGTGATAGAAATCTTTTAAAAGAGAGTTGTCGCATTGGAAAATCAAATTAACATGTCACAAGGTTGTTGAAATATTCTAACCTTTCATATTTCGTCTATTTCAGTTGTGTGATACACCCTCACCCTTTTAATATACTCCCAAAATTTGTGACTCTCATAAGCAACTCTCCAGACTTACATTCGTCATAAATTGGAGGGAAAGTATAAGAATTTTCCATGTTCAAGTCCTGTAAGAGCCAGGCAGGCAAAGATTAGTTTTCAGCCTCCATTGAGAATTTCCACCTTTAAATAACAACTTCCCAGCTACATACTCCAAAAGATATTTCTATAAATGAATGTAATTATACTGCACTTTAGGATGGAAAGCCAAAGGCAAGGTGCCCAACAGGACAAGTGAGGCACCAAATTAAGGAAAAATTAAGAGAGTAACTGTAAGCTTGAAATTGCACCCTCAGAAATTTCCAGTCTAGTTGGAAAAGTGCCTCAGAGAGTAAGAAAAGCAATTAGTTTGTTTAGCAGTTTAATAAATAATGGTACAAATCAAGTGGTAGGAGGAGCTGGGGGAGAAAATATGCACACATCATTCTTCCTGCAGCAAGGGGAGGAAAGGGAAAGAGATAAATGAGATAAAGCAGAGAAAAGTGATACTGAGTTAGACTTTGAAGGGTGGATAATCCCACAATGACAGGACATGCGTGGTGTGAAGGGCACACAGCCTGTGCATTCATTGGATAAAAATGTATCGAGGATTTGGGAACAGTGTTGTCATAACACTAAACCAATCAGAACGATGGCTGCATGCAGTCAAAAGCAAGGTTTTCGCTATGAACTAATATTTACATCCTGCCTAGGCAACCCCTCTAGTTGAAAGCACCATCATAAATGGATGGATTTTAAATTGAGTTGGATCTGCAACCCTGGGGGCGAGGGGAATTCAAACTTAAGAAGAAAGAGAAAAGAAAGAAAAACACTGTAAAAATCTGTGGAACTAGGCTTTGTTTATGAAAATTAGACACCACTGTACTAGAAATAGTTTGACTTAACAGGCATCTCAGTCATACACAGACAGGCACAGGTACACACATCCAGAGGCTATGGCATTTCTAACTAAAATGTGGTTAATTTAATGACAGTGGCTCAAAAGATGGGATACAGTTTGGCCATTTAAATTACATTTATAAATATTTGAATGGTGTGGAAATGGTTGCAATAAATTTAAAACTTAGAAATAAGTTAGTATCATTCTAACCTATGAAAAATAGGCATAAACATATGTCGGTGAAAACTAGAATGAAATATACTAAGATTATAATAATAGGTCTCTCTGAGTGGTAGTCCTCTAAGTGATATTTATTCCTTCATAGCTTTCTGGGATCACCGATTTGTCTGGGATGAGCTATATGTATAATAGCAAACATAGAAAAATGCATTGCTAAAAACGAGCCTACAAATTTTAAAAGAGATTATCACAGTTCATCCTTGGTAGGATTAGTTTTGCTTATAGTAACCAAGGAGGCTACTTGCTAGACTTAAATACCCTCATTGGAAATAATTGAATCTTTTTAACAAGAGTGCTTCAGGATATTCTATGATTTACCTTGATCAACTGTGCAAATGTGGTTTTATTTCAAGAATTACCTTAGCACCTTACACAGTGCAGTACTTGGTTGACCTTTTATTTAGGATTAAAGTACCATATAATTAACTTTTTTGTATACAGAGTTAAAACTTAATGAAAATGTGAGGTGAAATGCCAAAACTTAATTTGCAGGCTCCTTTCCTGTTTCACATCATGAGATCCTACAGCTTAGTTTTCTTCTCTCTTTCTTCCAGGCGCTTTGATTCTTACCAGATCAAGATTTACTAACAGCTTCCAGATAGCTCACCATAAAGAAATCAGAGAAAGCAGATTCAAGCAATGTGAAGCCAAAGGAAAAAGAATAGAGGTTAAATTCCTGTGTGGGGCAAGTTCCATTAGACTCTGACTCTGAATCAGACAAATGTGAAAACTCTGCATGTACAGGTAGTGTAATTATGGGAATCACAATTGTACCTCATGAGTTAATATGGGTGATATTTATTGAGATAGCAGACATAAACCATACCTGCTAAATTTAAGGACATAACAATATCGATTAATAATTCATTAAAGGCTATTGCGTTGTAGCCCATTATTATGCCTACGATTTAATGTCACACAACACCCCCATTCTTTTCCCTCTGTCTGCACCCTCAGCCTATGTTATAGGAAACTACTTGCTGTTTGTTGAACTTCTTAGTATTTTCTTCTTACAGTGAGAGTGATTGTATTTCTCTAAAATCCAGTCTCCTCATCTTCTGCAGCAATAGAATTTTCACTTAATACAAAGCTCCCAGGAATATGCATTACAAATCCCAGCTTCCATGGCGGCTGGATACCAGCATATTTTGGGAAATGAGATAGAAAAATGTCACGGAGTGACTCCCCTCAGTGTTGGTTAAGCTTATGCTCTTCACCCTCCTTTTCTGTCATGTACTTGAAGCTGTTCCATACACACATGTAAGTTTGAACCAAGAGAATGGGGGTCATGGTCACAGATAGGTTAAGAAATGTTAGGAAAATTCCTCAGGGCTGTTCCACCCTGGAACTTTACATTAGACAGAAAATCTGTCTCTAGTGCTTATACTACTATCACAGTATTGGTGTGTATCTGCTATTCACAGCCAACTTTTGTCAATGTCAAGCCTTTTACATATGCTAATGACTGTTGAGAATGTTATTTTCTGTATTTATGTTGTAAGGAGAATTCTACCACTTCCCATGAAGACTCAACTTAATTATTGCCTCTTCCAGGATTCCTTCCTGTGTTTCCCATGCCTGGCAGCGTTTGGCAGGTACGTCATCTTCATTGTGACAATTATTGCTGTGTTTTAATCATGACTATTTTGTTTGCCTCCCTCTCTCTGGTGTGAAATCCTTGGGGCTAAGTGTTGTACCTTATTTATCTCTTGATTCCAATGCCCTTAAAAAGTCTGGTCCATAGTAGGTAAGATTTAAGCTTTGGAAAGAATAAGTGAATGAGTGAACGGCTGGCAAAAAATTAAAAGAAATACAGAGAATTTCTCTATTATCATTCACCCAAGGTTTTCCTATCACTCAATTTTGTTTCTTCATCTACCCCTCTTTTCCCCTTAGCAAGGGGAAGGGCTTACTTCATCATTGAGTAACAATTGCTTTCAGAGTCCCTTAGTCACATCAGAATGCCCTCCTCCAAGTTCCACTGTGAATTCCTATTGATTTTTCTAGTCAGAAATCTCAGCTTCACTGATGTGACTGTAAAGGAAAGTAGGAAAAACAGTGTGAAATCCATCCCCTATCTAAATCTCCATTACCTTCTGCTGTTTTTGTTTCAAGATGATTCAATTACAAAGTATATACTCAAGCCTTTTTCTCCCCCTTCTTAGGGCTGCTTATAAAAAAATTAAACTAGGTACATAAAAGAGATTATATTGCTGCTCTTCCAAGTCTCAGAAAAAAATAAATCATCAGAAACTAGAATAGACCAATACAATTTATTTTGTTTGTAACTTTAGGTTAGTTCATTGTTGGGGTTTATGTGATAGCATATTGCTATTACAAATTTTCCTAAAATATCAATACAGAAATGTAATTAGATCTTCTTTCAAGGTCTTATTTCCTCCAATCTACAGAATAAAAATTGTTTTCTAAAGGTTCTCTTTACATTACTAAATAATCCTTATTGTTTAGATTTTTGCATGTGGTAAACACAGCCCGGGTTTTATATTGGCTTCTGCCAACTGAAAGGGATTTTAATCTAAAATATATGATTTCTAAGGTTTAGAAGATGTTGGTATTTGACCTTCTCTTTCTCAGTGTTTTAAGGGCTACAGGAATGGGTGAGAAGAACAGAGGTCTGTCTTGATTACAACATAATTCAAACTGAACTCTAGCAGTGATAGAAATGTGAACTAGTTAACATCAATGCCCGAGAGACTAGGACCCTAATTATTGGCATAGTGTTTATATTTTGGGATGTATTGAAATTTATTATGTTCACCTTAGATTTTTTTGAGCACTTCCTACTTTTTGGTAGTAGAGAGACTCCTTGAGATAAACAATGTTAAATCTCTTTGATATTTAACAGTGCAGCTTGGCAACTAACAAAGGCAAAAACTCAGCCTGAGTGAGTGATGTAAAAGAGGCAACTAATTCAGTCCTCTTGAATTAAAGGGGGCCTTTACAGGAGACCTGGTATCTGTGTGAAACTGAAGACATGCTGCGGTTAGTCATGCAAAGGCATAAAGAGGAAAAAAGAAATGCCTCAGACTTAAGAGGAATCAGGTGGTGTTGTAGTTTAGATTTAAAATATCTCCAAAAGAGTCCTGTTCAGAGGTGGGGCTTTTGAGGGAGGAAAGGGCATGGAAAAAAAAATTCTAAAATATATCATGTACAGGTACAAATTCCCAATGATGAATGTGATCATAATGTCTACTTAAAATGTACCAATCAAGTTAATTTTTTAAAAAGCGACTGCATCGTGGGGGCACTAAACTCTGAGAATCAAGCCGTAGAGGAGGAGTCCTGCAGGTGAATGTCCTTTAGGAGGTGGGGCCCGGCTGGAGGTGGCAAGCTGGGACAATGGCCCGGAAGTGCTCCTTCTTGTTCCCCACTCTTTGCTTCTTGAGCCGCTTCCCTCTGTCCTTCCTTCTCCCACCCCATTTCTGCCTTGGAGCCAGACAACCAGAGTCTGAACACACAGGCAACTGAGCCAAATAAACCTCGTCTCCTTTAATTTGTAGGTTTCTTGTATTGTGCCTCGGTGACAAGACAGCTGACTAAGAAAATGGGGAAGAAATGAGGCTGGAGAGGTAAGGAGAAAGGGACTGTGAAAAGCCTACTCAACTATTTCAATCACTCTTTCACTTGTTCATTATGTAATCAGCAATCACCTATTGAGCATTCACTAAGTTCCTGGAAATGTTCAAACACCTGGAAAATGAGAGTGAAGGAAACTGATCAAATCCTGCAGTGGTGAAACTTATATTCTAATGAGTGCAAAAAAAAAAAAAAAAAAAAAA